AAAATTGCTGGCATTTAAAAATACCGTGTACCCACATAATCTCCTACATTAATTCTCTTTCTCCACAGACTGTTGAAGTCTCCCTCAGAGCTTAGTGGTTTAGAGTGTGGACTTTTAAGCAGAACTCCTGGTTTACGTCTGGGCTCAGCTCCTGACCGCTGCGACCTGAGCACATCATAACGTCCCTGGAACCTTAGGATGGCGACGGCAGGTCCTCTCAAGCATGCTGTGACGAGTGTGTGAGAGTCGCACGGTGTGTGTGGAGCAGCGACCGGTACCTGGCGAGAGCCTCGGCAGGCTCTGCTAGGACACGAGCCATGCGCTATTGTCCTATGGAAAGTGCAGCGTGAGCCCTGACTTTGGATCCAGGGCCCTGGTGCCAGGCTTCCTTGACTTGGGCACTGGGATCCACACGGGAAAGCAGGGGCTCCCCTGGCGAGGCCGTCAGAGGTACGTCTCGGCACGTGTAACCAGTCGAACATTTTGTTTAATGGAGAACACTGCTCTGTGTTTACTAAGGACAAGTGTGTTTATTTCCCAGGGTGGCTTCTTCTTTCCTTTTCCTTTTCCTTTCTTTCTTTCTTTAATGACAGACAATACTTGTGTGTGCATGAGAAAGAGAGGGAGAACCCTCGATGTCTCGATTTGATCCCCTTTTTCCACCCCTCCAGCACTTCAGGATCTGTGGCCCACGTGGGCTTCAGGTGTTTCCAGGCTGGTCTGGGGATTTGAATCTGCCTTGTGACTTTCCACACTGTAGTCACCATGCCACAGACTTCCACTTGGGCTGGGCCTGAATAATGTTTTTAAATGTTTTTGAAATTGGGGATGTGTGCTCACTGGAGATACAGAGACAGTAAGAGGAAACAGGAAAATTCATCCTCAGAAATCAGCCCATAGTGGTTGGCCATGCTGCAACCCCTTCTCCTCCATGTCCTTCTGGGATTTTGGACACGCCTGCACATACTCCCAGTGTGGGTCTTGGACTGTGGTTGGTCAAGTGGGAGGTCAGGGCCTTAATCACCATGCCACCTGCTGGCTCCTAACCTCAATAAGTTTTTATTTACTTTTTTTTTTTTTGAGAACTTTTTGCTATAGGGAACATTTGCTCACCAGAGAGACAGACAGAAAGTGGGAAATCACTCCCGCAAGCTGCAATCCTTTCAACTCCATTCTCCCCTTGGGATTTTGGGCATGTATGCACACACATTGGTGTGAGTTTTAAGATGCCGGGTCCAGGATTCAAACTGCAGTCAACTACATGGGAATCCAGCGCCACAAGGATTCCGCAATCTGCTGGTTCTGGCCTGAGTAAGTTTTAAGTGAAGGATCCTGGCTAGATTTTTCACAAGATCATTTTCATCCAGCCGTCAGAACTGGGGGTCAATCTAGGTAGTAATTACGGTGTGGAAATCGGGAACTGACCTGACTGTGTTGTTCTCGTCCACTCCAAGAAAGGTTGTCGAAATCGTATGGGAGCCCGCCTACTCTTCTCAACTTCGCCGTTGTTCTGTATCAGGTCCACAATTTCCTGGGTCCACGTGGTTCCTGAAAGAGAGGAGAATGAAGAACCGAGGAGGCAGTCACCAATTCTCTGCAACTTACAATTTAGAAACATCTGTGCCCGACCCGAGTAATTGAGGCTGAGTACTGCTGTTGGAGGCACTCAGTGAGGAGTTAATGTGACCAATTTCCTTTTGCTAGTTAAATAAACCGCTTACTCTTTCTAAAGCCAAAACCTTCTAGTTTTACAGAAACCTTATACCATTGCCTGTCTGTGTGAGCTGACAAGATGCTGACAGGTGCTCCAACTCCAAGCCCTCTCTTCAAGGACTCCAGTGTACCTGCTTTGGGGTAGGACGCGATGAGCAGGTCGTCGGGCCGGGCTTGGAAGTTCCAGACTTCATCCCAGATGTTGCACGTCTGCTTCTGCAGGAAGACCCCATTCACCTGGGACACCTCTCCGCGGGGCAGCAAGCTCCACTCTAACTCCCTTGTCTCCTCTGCCTGCTCTTCACCCCGACACATATACTTGTAAGTAATTTAACCATTAGTTTATCAATTTAGTTACGGCCTACCTGTACATTAAAAAAAAATAATAATAGTGTAAAAGGACTCCTGGCAGACCAATAGACTGCTGATTTGTCAGTGTCTGTGCACTCTGGGTGAAGCTGGAACAGACCTCGCCCTTCCTCCTGCCAAAGCTCTTCCTGGGTGCTGCCAGGAGGAAGAGCTGTGAGGGAGCCTGCCCAAGCCCAGCAAAGGTAGAGAACCAAGTGTATCACAGAGGAATGCCTGGCGCTAGTCTCCAGAAACCACCCTCCTTCTTCTCAACACCTGAAGTTATTCTTCCTACAGAAGGAAGGGTGATTCTGTGTTCTGGGTTTGATAATCCATGAAAAGTGGGAGAAACACCTTCTCCCGGCCTGAGCAGACCCATGCTTCTGTTAACAAAACACTTGTTAGATGCATTACCTGCTGGAACAGTCCAGCCTGGAATTCCTCCCCAACTTCCAAGGTTGTACCTATTTCTTTCCTGTGAGGGGTTTGGCTGCAGTGTTTGACTATAGTTATGGAGAATTTTTAATACCAAGGCAGAATTTACACACAGTGAAGTGCACAGACCCTAAGTTTACAGCTTGCAGAGATTTACTTACACATGCGCCCATGTAACCACCACCCAGATCAAGATGATCAAGGTACGGAACATTCTCACCATGTCAGAAAGCTCCCCCCTTCTTCCCAGTTCAACCCTCAGCAGTGCCCCACAGTCAAGGTGGCCCCTGTTCTGTCCTGACCTTCACCACCAACGTTCTTGTCAGGTTGAAGCTCCTACCTGCTCATTCCCAGTCCAGCCCTCACCAGTGCCCTCCAGTCACGGTGGCCACTCTGCCCTTCACCACCATGGCTTAATTCCACTCGCTCTTGAACCTCGTATGAATGGGACCATATTGCATGTACTTGTTTGGAGTGGCTCTGTTTGGTCAACCTGCATTTTTGAAACTCATGGTGTATTAGTGGTTCATTTATTCCTCTTGCTGTATTCTGTAATAAACCACTGAATAATCCTGTTTAGACATTCTCCTTTGGGTGGACGTATAGATGAATGCCATGTTTGGTAACAAAGAATAAAGTGTCCATGACATTTTTGTACCTTTTTTGGGTGAACATACGCACTCTCTTGTTCTCTTGGATGGAGGGCTGTGTTCTGAGCTGCTGCGTCATTGAAGTGTACTTAGTGGAAACTGCCAAGCCGCGTCTCAATACACAGACAAGGGCACTTAGCCTAATGACATCAGAAGGGCCACTGACCATTTGTCTGTCTGTATGACCTCCAAAATCTTCCTCTAACTCTGAGTTCTAGCTCCCTGGTTGGAGGAGGAATGGCAGCCTCTTCTCTATGTCCCCCAGCTGCTGGCTCAGCTAGGCATCTGCCCGTTAGGACACTCAGACTCACTTCCTTACAGTGTACTCAGTGTAGGTGGGCCCTGGGGTCACTATGTGGGGACACAGGCTTCTCCAGTGTTCAGATGGACTGGACCCACACAAGGAGCTGCTTCTTTACTCCCTAGGGGTATTTCAGAGTTCCGCCTGTTTGTTGACTTGCTAGTGTGTCACCTGGCATGCTGGACATCGGCATAAACTCCAAATTCCAAATGAACCATTATAAAGAACATCCAGGAAACATTTCCTCAGTTGCTCAAACAGGAGAAATTCTACTGAGCTTATGACATCCACTTAAGCAACCTTCCCACAGCCAGTTCCCAACCTCTGCCTCGGTTATTGTCTGTGCTCACCCTGAGAGCCCACACAGGGACTTCTGGATCATCTTCAAGGAAAGCTCATGACCTGCAACTGCAGGACAGAGGGAGAAGAGGGGGAGAATTTGCTAACTGTACTAGGCCTATTGCTTTATATCTTGCAGCTCAGTTTAGATAGTATTCCTGGTGTGGGCACGACAATGTTAGAGATGTAAAAAGACCATATATGGGCTGGTGTGCTGCTTATGCTATTGTCTGTCTCATCCAATGGCACCTTGCTCTGGTTCTGAGAGATGTTCAGCAGTCAGGGTTATCTCCAGCCAGAGTCACCCACAGAGATGATGTTTGCACTGGGAGCCAGGGCCAGGCCAAGGGGTGGGAGAACTTGCCTCATTTTAGGACTTTCATACCCTGCTGTAGAGACACAACCATCAGACTTCTGATGAATTCCACCGTTACTGTTACAGCTGCTCAGTCAGGTTTTCAATGAAAAATATGTGTTTTTTTCAGAGAGCACATGGATGTGCAGGAGAGAGAGAGAGAGAGAGAGAGAGAGAGAGAGA